TGTTTGTGTAAAGTTCAGTCCATTCAGCTCAATTGCTCCAGCTGGAGACTAGGGTCTTGTGTTGTGTTTTCCATGGTAAAGCACTTATCCCCACTTTCTCCACTCTTGTGCGGCTACCTGACTATCTGCTGTGGGGGGTGAGGTGAGGTAACCTGTAGTGGATGAAAGAGCAACACTAGTCTCCATCTGGATGTGGTACTACGGTATGTTCTCTGATCACACAAGTATGGGTGCCAAGTAAAAAGCAAAATTTTCCCTTGTTGACATATAATGTACTTTTTTATCTTTCTGTGTCAGCATTGTCGTGTTTGCTCAAACCAGGGGCAAAGGACAAAAAAAATGTCATGATGTCAAGGCTGGATGGCTATTGTCACGATTTAGGAAATCCAGACAGGGTTACTTGGCTGGGGGCGGGGGGGTTACTCCCTTATGTGGGCTATATGGGTGTGTGCGGCCCCAAAGGGTATGGTTTTTGCACTCTTGTCTTGAACTGAGTATGTTTTGCTTCATTATTGATAAGACCATCAACAAAAGCCCTTCACAAATTATGTTTAGGGCAACTGTGCCAGCCACGATGGTCATAAATAGGATATCAAAGTTTTGGTCAGGTCATAAATAGGGTAGGGAAAATTGCAGATTTTGGTCATAAATGGGGTAAGGGTTTTGGAAAGCGAGCCGCACACCCCAACCCAATTTTTCTGGGATTACCCACTCCCCCTTCCAGGGGGGGGGGAGGAGGGGGGGCTACATGTAGATATTAATAAAAGCAAAAACAAATTAAAACAACATACAGCAAAAGAAATGTTTTCCTTCAAGACGTTAAGATATTTAAAATCTTCAAGATATTTAAAATGTTTTCCAGATAACTAACAATGGAGATAGAGTGGGTAGCGGTTGTGCTGATTTACTGGTTTTAGTACCTTTGGCAGCACACGTGTTTTCAGTCAGGAAGGATATCGATATGTGCAAACGTTAATTCATGAATCAAGTGTCTTACACGTATTCAAAGTAAAGAATCACTGTCTGAGATATCATTAGACCTAAACCGTCTTTATACCAGTTATAGATTTGTCTCAAACCTTCTTGTTGTCATGAGTTTTGGTAAGTTGTAATTGTGCGATTGGTGTGAGCATTGTTATGAAAGATATTGAAATTTTTGGGGGCGTTTATGAATTATTGAATTTATGACGTAAATTTTCCTTTATAGTAGATTGTAATGGAATACTTGCAAAAGCAATTTGTAATCATTACTAGCTGGCCCTCCATTAATGTAAAACACGGCTTAAAGCCAGTGAAACATGGCTTTGCTTAAAACAACGACTACAGACCAACGTTGAATAAACCCGTCACTAGCGCTCCGTACCACTGAACGTTGAGCCTAAACATTTATGATAGTGCTTTGCACTGTTTTAAAATGTCATTTACTTTTTGGTTTTCGAAGTTTTATGGAGTGATTAGCGAGTAGTAGAATTTGTAACGGAGAAATCGCCGGTCATTCGACATTGCTACAGTGACGGATCCACTCTGACTGTTTGAGGATTTTCACCAGGTGCATGGCTGTCGTGTTCTTTTGTTTAACAAAACACAAACACGAATCTCATTGAACCAGTCGCTTTGTTCTTCCACGACGAACACAAAGACCATACTGCTACAAAGCATTTTCACCATTCATGGTGATGTCAAATGACCAGCGTCGCGTTAAACAAAAGTCATTGCTTGTCAGAGGCGGACCGTGATAACCTCAGCAGTGTCATTGTGAACACACACATTCAAGGGAATTAAAGTTCTTTTCGAGCAGTGCCGTTGGCATGGATATTCACCTGGAACAAACGTTTTCGCACATCAAAGGTCTCGACTGTCGTGGCTTCCTTTGAGAGGTTGAGTAACTGAGGCGGTCTCGAATTGATTGAACGAAAGACTAACTGCTGCTGCTGTTGCTGAACAATAGCTGTCAAGGTTGGCTCAAGTTTTTCACTTTTCTTTAAAGAGTCCTCTATGTCTCGTTCAACACTAACGTTGCGGCCAAGATCGCCGTCACATATAGCGTTTGTTATACTGTACTGATTTGTACGTTTGTCTTTCACGATGTTTGCGTGTAAACGTTAAATGTTGTTGTAAGGCTAGTCCGGTTTACTCCAGGGTAGAAACCTTTAGCGTCAGAAAGTAGAAATTCTGCTGTTCTCTACTTAATCCGTGTCCGACAAAATTTATATCAGTTTCTTAAACCTAAATTTGCATACAAATTCAGCTTAAGTTGGTCACTGAAAAGTGTAAAGCGGCGAATGTGGCTGTTTGGGATTACATTGACCATCCTAGGCTCTATAACGTTTGGACAGTAAAGGTCTGCTGGCGGCATAAACTTTGCCTAATCTCCCGGCCGTTTTGTTTATATAAAAACACATAAAACGTTTACTGATCGGCCGGCCGGTCCAATAACTCATTTAACTGCCATGCCAAAAATAATTTGTAGAAGGAAGCTTTTTTTATCGTCCATGGACGCAGCTATAGAAAGTTTTCAGTATTATATCTCGGCGTTTTCAGTTTTGTCTCCAGGAGCATGATTGATTTTTTTCAGTTTCTGATTATTCAATAATTGTTCACACGTAAACATGGGCGAGTCTGGCTTTCAAACCCACAACAGCGGGCATCTATGTTTGCATTGAATTAATTTGGAATTTCAAGTAGACATTTGAAGCCGAAAACGAGCGAATAACAACCAGGTAGTGTTAGAAGCTCGATTGCAATTGATACCGTAATCAGCTAGAGGCTGACTATTTTCAGAGGTATGTAAATCAGCAGTGGAAAAACAGACAACGGATCAGTGCGAGATGTATAAATCGGTAGACGAAAAATAGAGCAAACAATGTTTAAAGTCTAAATGCTGCTAACTTCAATTTATAGTCCTCTCGGCCAGTATTTTTGTGATGTATAAAGTAAGTTTTGTCATGTGGTATTTTCCATAGTCGTGGTCCTGATTCAAGTAGGCTTTTATGATAATCGAATGCGCTGTACCGTTCATCCATATGCTCAAATGTTCAGTGTGTGGCCGGTAGTCGGTGTAAAGATGGCCCTTCGCCCTACGTCTTAGTTTTAAAGCTGGCGTCAATGATGATTAGGAATCAGGTCACGCACTGAACAAAATACGATTTAAATCGGTGTCGCTTTAAATACTTGTCTATAAACCTATTCGTGAATTTTGTTTCGCTCTGTCTCTCAGTACTTCAAAGAAGCGAGACTGATTTCCAAAACTTACCGCGCGCGTTGGGTTTTTGTGGCAGAGAGCTGGTGCGCTTTTAGAAGGTGCGCATGGGGTACATAGTTAGCACAATAGTTATATTTTGTTCCATTTGTACAAACCTTGTTGTGATTATTAGCCAACCGGTCAAGGCGAACTACATTCCGCAGGAAAGGTAGCTGTTGCTAGCCAGCACATGTCTCTAAGATACATCAAGAGCGATACTTCAATTTGCCTTTAAAAACATACTATTCATTTCTTTTCAAGAGTGGATGAACCTGTTCATAGTCTCCTATTTATTTATTTTTGCTTAAGGATGTTGTGAAATAAGAGCGCGGTTTTTTCGCGCGTTCCTGGTGGAAGGCAGATACTAATATGAAACTAAAAGTTTTGTCTTGCAAGGTCTGTGAATTTCTTCTAGTTCATTGAAAAGCACTGAACGTCTTAATGTCAAAAGTAATTGAGGACGTTGTGTTACTTAGGAGCTAAATTTCAGTCTTCCCTTGATGAAGGATTGGATTCCATAGAAAGCACTATATGTCCTAACCAACAAGAGGGAGAAAAATGAGGGACGTTTTGTTATTCCAAGTCTAAATTTCTTCCCTTGATGCAGAGTTAGTTTCCGTAAAAAGCTCTGTATGTCTTAGCAAACAAAAGCATTCAGTTATTTCAGCTGATAAGCAGATGAGAGAGAGCATTCGCGCTGGTTTAAATAACGTCAAAATCGGTGGGCCTGTTTTCTGTTTAAAAACAGAAGGCGTGCTGCTTCACACGGTCAGTTTGATATACTGATTCGACTAATTCAACCAGCATTTTGGACGCTGAAGTTATTGTCCAAGTACACCAACTGAAACTTCACGTTAGTGGGCAATGTTCACTTTGGATTACTAGATTGTACAAGCTTCTCTTTCTAAGACGAGTCTACAACTGACGGAATTGATAATGGTATGTTGTGTACGGGTATAAATCAACAGCAAGACGAAGACGCAAGCACGGGGCTGTACGAATGTGCAGACTGAGGCTGAAGAGTGCAGAGATCATTTATGCCAAAATAGCGCTCAGGTTAGACTGAATATCACTCAGGTTTGCCTGTTTACGGTTAGATCTCGGTTACGAAAATGGGAGTACGACATTAGTTGAAAAGTCTGCAGTTTACATATGTCATACACCGCAAGCACAGTTAGGGACGAGGCTGAGAATCATAGTACACAGGGCCTCACAGAATACCACTTCTCAGTGAAGTGAGCCCCCTATATCAAGGTTTATTATTATTATTATTATTATTATTATTATTATTATTATTATTATTA